TTTCCTTAACCTTGGAAATTTACTCAACAGGGAGAGCCTGCACATTGAAATTTATGAATTATTCAACATGCAGACATTATATTTTAGGTAAACTCGAGATACCCCTGAATTTTTCGAAAGTTATATCCTTCTCATTATGAATGATTATAAGAATAGCGTTTACGAGGTTATTACTCACATGCTTTATCATTTGCAATTACTACATTTTCAATATGTACTTTTTTCGCAATAAAGACACTAAATCATTTATATAATTGCAGATGTTCCTACATCATCCGGTGACGTATTTTTTTTATCCTCTTCATTATATTTCCACAGAATTGTCCAGTCTGGAAGCTGACTGACACTGACGGAGAAGCATACGGAAACAGAACACCAGCTCGGTCACTTACACATTTTCATTATTTTCCATATGATTATCAATCATGAGGTATTTCTTTGAATCTCTTGTTGATATATGTGTATCATAATATAGCATAATACTTATGACACAAAAAGTCTTATGATATTCATCGAATGATAAATCGTCCTCTTACATTGCAAACTGGTGACCTAATTCTGGCATCGTCTACGCCCTTCGCATCACCTGACCACCTGACCTAGTCTCCAGCATTTTGTCATATAGATTAATCACTCATTTTATGATATATGGCTGTATTGATAACTTATTCATAATATTTTTATCTGCCTACTCATATATGTCCCTATTTTACTACGATACAATGTTATACGGATTCACTCTCCTCGGTTAATCCATATCCTTATTTGTAATGTCAGTCTGAATCCACATTTAAACAAGTATTTTTCCCATGTCTCACTCGCGACTACTTCGGCAGATATTGCAGCCCCCTGGTCGCCCGGTTCTACACCCACGCTTACCTTGCTCCTGTGTGGACTAGCTGTGATCCTGCAATTGCGTCGGTGTGTTGCTATGAGAATCACGCAAGTTACATCGACATTTTTTATTACTTATTTTCGTGAATGAATTACTTGTAAGTTTTTTTTTCTGTGTTGCATGACTTCATCTTTATTAATATTCTATGATATTACCTCATTCATAGATGATTAATGATGTTATATAATACTAGTGTCTTCTCTATGTCTACACATACTATTTCAACACTTAGTGGTACATACCTTGCTCTGTATCGAATATCACGCCCTGCTCACACCTACTCTCTATACCTTATACTTCAAAGTCCATCAGTGCTATGCAACTGCGTGGTACCTGACTGTCAATCGACCTATTGCTTTGGTGTTGCCACCTTCCGTACCGATTTCCACGGATCACGCTGATCACGGATTCCCATTTTCCTCCAGGAGAAATTTCTACTCTCCCAACGTTCTCAACTTTATCTCCTCTATCCCAACAACTTTTTTCATCAATTACCCCAGCCTCCTTCATTACTACTCTACAACCTTACTGTCCACCACTCCGCAGTACTAACTCACTCACTCATCACTACTCCCTCTTCCACACGTCCCTGCCCTTCTACTACCCCATCCTCTACAAATATCCTAATTCCTTCCGTCTCGTCAGCTCTACCTACATTAACCCTCCCTCCATCCCCACCATCCCTTCCACTCCCTCCTGGATACACACATGAATCAACCATATATGGATGGCAGGAAATTTTATTCCTCATTGGCGGGCTCTTATCCTCCCCTTCCTAAAACCAAGTATTTCGGGTACTCTTCCTCAAAATTACTGCCCCATCGCTCTAACTAGCTTCTTATGCTAAATACTAGACCGGATGATTAACTTCCGCTAAATCCGGTATCTTGAAACTCACACTCTTCGCTCTCTTATCCAGTTTGGTTTCCGTCCCTGCCACACGTCCCTAAGTATATCTGACTCCCCTTATTTATTTCGATATATATATTATATCTACGTTTCACGCCATGATTCCGTATCAGCCATATTCTTTGACCTAGAAAAAACATATGATACCACATGGCAGTACTATATTCTTACGCCGAAACATGTCTTTATTAAGTCCTACCTCTCCAAATGCACTTTTCAGGTTAAAATCGTCTCTTCCACATCATCATCCTTTTTCAGTTCGAAGGCGTCCCGCGAGGTAGTGTGCTCAGCGCCACCTTCTTGCTGTTAATGGCATGGTTTCAGTTTTACCACCAGGAGCCCGGCCATCACTATGGGCTGATGATTTGACCATCTTCGCCTCTGGCATATCTATTCCTCTCTCCGCCAATTCATTCAGTCTGCAATATCATGAGTATCTTCCTGGACCACTATACATGGCGTTCGCTTTTCTACCTCCAAATCTTTCTCCGTCCTTTTCTCTCGCGCACGTATGTAGGTCCCCAGCTCCCACTCTTCTTCCATGGCGCTCCACTCCAATACCGTTCTTCTGGCAAAGTCCTTGGCGTTATTTTGGACTCCACGTCGTCCTGGCGAAACCATATCTTTTACGTTGAAGAAAAAGCTCGCCGCCGCCTTAGACTCTCTCCCAAATATCTTGGGGCTCGGATCGCAAAA